AGTGGGACCAGAGACGGGTCTTAGTGAGGGGGGGGGTTGGGGGTCTCACAAGATTACCTCACCATCACCTCCCCAGCCTGGCGGTGCCTCACCATCACCTCATCAACCACAACAACAAGTTGTGTATTCAACAATAAAGCCACAGGGAGTCATACAATAACTTATGTTTAACAGGTATCACATCATGGGTGTGTTTTGTTGGGGGCATTTTGTGAGAGGGGAATTTGGGGGGATGTGTGGGGAGGGGAAGGGAGTTAGTGGGGTGGAGTAAGTGGGGGGGGGAGTGCGTTGTGGGGGGAGTGAGTAGGGGGAGAGGGAGGGGAGACATCAGACCCTCGTCTTGTTTAGGATATGTAAATTTTAATTACGAAATACTGTATAAAAGTTAAATGCAAGTTATTGTGATAATTAAAGGTGTGGTGGGGTCGGGGCAAGGATGGGGAGGGGGGGTAAATAAGAGTGCAGCAGTAACACATGATTACCCTGCCACCAGCCCGCCCTCACCACCCATCTATGGCGGCTGTGACCAGGCTCCACTGTGGCAACACTTGTGCCCTGTACGGGGAAATCAACATGTGGAATGTATTGAAACAAGTTGTGCAAGCCACCTCCATGCACAACTCTAATACGACAGAGACTTGAAAGATCAGGATAGCTAACTCACAACGCAACAGGTACATACAAGGAGGTCAGTGGGCGGGGCATGAAGAGCTAGACCTCACTCCCCCGCGGTCAGTGATACGCCCACATAAGGGACTACTTGCATGGCTACCCTCCATGGATGTGTGTTCTCTCAAGTGGACTAATTCTTAATCGTGTGGAGTCAAACAAAAATATATGTATTAAACTATATACAACAAAGGCAAGTTGTTCAAGAACATCTTCCTATCCTATCCAAGTCCATCAATCAACTCCACTCTTCCACTACTCCGGACCCCAAGTAAAAATAAAAATAGTTAACATGGAACACATGCGAAGTGGCGACCCAGACACCTCTTGCTCATTTGCAGAGGCATCTAATAGTTACGAGATATTTAGAGTTCAATTGAAGCATTTTGCTGATACCCGGGACATATTTACGGGTAATTAACTGCTATTAAGACGCTCGTTACGGGTAATTATCGCTTACTTGTGGTAGGTGGATCATGGCTCCACCCTTCCTCTTCTCAAGGTGAAGGCGGGCCACGAAGCCTCCCCCCCCTCTCCACCACCACCCACAATACCTCCCTCAAAAACCACATCACCCCCCCCCTCTCCTATCAACCATGATCCCCACCTCAACAATACACTCAGCCAAACCAACGTCAGTACCACCTCTGCACCCATCAACCTCTATACCCCATCCTCACTTACCACAATACCCTCTTCCAAACAACCACAACACTTTCCCACTAATCACAATACCCCCCCCCCCATTCCCTATCCTCACCAATTACAAAGCCCCTACTTTAAATTAACAATACCCCCATGCCATTACCCACAATATACTTGCCACAATAACCTCTCCACCATCCATAACACACCAACCCTTATCATCTATAATACCCTATCCATAACCCCATTTCTCTCAACTACAATACCCTACCACCTCCCTCCCCCCACCAACTTCAGTACTGTACAATACTCCCTTCTTATACTCCACAATACCTTCTCCCCATCAAATGTTGGACCCTCTCCCCAAATTTCCTGCTCCATCCCACCTCCACAACTTCCAGTATTATACTATACCGTAGAATCAACCACAGTTTGATTTAAGGCCGAGTTTATTTGAGAGCTGACACCAGTAATCAACATCTAAGTGAATTCGACTGAGCATATAATTGTTTGATGGCCCTCCATTAATCCAGAGGGAAGACAGCAGACCCAATAGACAACTAACAGGAGTTATGCAGCAATAACCTCACCTGATCCTTCATCGTTCTCTATGATTAAGGACTACTCCATCATAAGGCGAGATGTACCCACGCCTATGTGTGTTTTTGCACGTAAAATTAGCATACCCATATCCCTAGTGTCAAAGTGCATATTCCTAAAGATATCACAGTCGGTGAAACATCAAAGAAATAAAATGAAAAGATTAAGTGATTTAGTGTTTCTTCATCCTCTAGATGGTGGAAGGAATGTAAGTAAAATGGAAAACATCCATTAGAAAATTAACAAGTCACAATGCTGTTGTGTTACGTATGTACAGTATACATATATAAATATATGTATATACAGTATAAATATGCAGAAAAGTCACAATAACGTGGCTGAAGATATGATGCCCAAACCCCACACGAGCACACACACACACACACACACACACACATAAATGCTCTTCTGACTATGAATAACTTGAAATAAACACTACATTGTTACTAGAAAGTAAGTAATTATCAAAACAAGACACCCAGCCTTGAAGACTGCAAATCACCGTCCGAGTTCAAGAGTTTCTAAATATCACCCAGGATGCCACTACAAGAGCAACAAGGCATAATATGAGCGATGTCAAAGGAGTCGGAATCAGAAAGCATTGTATTGAGGGACAAAGGAACTGTGGGAAAGCAAAATTTGATCCTAAAAATAAGGACATTTTGCAAACTTTAAGTTATTTTGGAGTCTACCAATAATATTAATTAATGAATAATTTTAAATCTTCAATAATTGCTGCTTTTTCCATGATCTAAACTAAAATAATGTATCCATATTTGCAGCCCAAATGCTTTGTTAAATGTAGTATCTAATTAAACAAAACTGACTGTGCTGTCCCTTTTTCATAACAGGTGTACAGCATAAATATCATTTTCCAAGGTGTGGCCAAGGTCAAGCTCAAGTGTATCCATATTTTTGTTTTTTGATATTTAATAAGGGGTCGTTACCAACTGCATTTAAAACAACACTGAAAGGATAACAACAGAGCTACACTATTTGACAGTATTATGAGAGGTGTGGTGTTGTACTAAGACTGTGAAGCCTTACTACTACTATTATCACCATTCACTCATTGTAATGACTAGATACACTTAGTCTGGCTCTCTGTTTGGCTAGAAGTGCTTCATAAGCCACACTTAAGTGCCTTCTAGATTAGCAGAGTGCAGCCGAGGCCAGCCCATAAACAAAAACCAGAAGTCAGTAGAGAGAGAAGGAAACTAATACAAAACTGTCAAAACTGCTGCTATCATAATTAACAATATCCAATATTAAACTTTGCCCAACCACTTAAGTAAAGTGACGGTCTTGCGTCATGCAAGTTGATGTTCAGTAGCCAACTGTCCAAATGGTCAAGTACCATTCCTTTCCCCCGTCCCATCCCAAATCCATATCCCCTCCAAGTGCTATATAGTTGCAAAAGCTTGGCAATTTCCCCTTATAATTCCCTCCCCCACTATTAAACTATAATAAAGTTAATCAAACTATAACATTCATTTAATATTTTATTGAAAATATATATATCAAATTCCAATTAACGTAGGGCAATATTAAAAGTACAGTGCAGTAATTCTGAATCATTATACAGTTTTTCATAAACATTCTGGAAGAAGTTAAAACTAAAACATGAATTTTCTGAAATCTCAAGAGTAGCCTATCAATAGTTTCCCGACCATCAAACCTAAACCACAGGACACTACTTTATTCCTTTTATGCTCAAATTTAAATTGGTAATGCTTATAAAAAAAAATTATATATATATATATATTATATTTATTATATTTATTATATATATATATATATATATATATATATATATATATATATATATATATATATATATATATATATATATATATATATATATATATATATATATATATATATATATATATATATTATATATATATATATATATATATATATATATATATATATATATATATATATATATATATATATATATATATATATATATATATATATATATATATATATATATATATATATATATATATATATATATATATATATATATATATATATATATATATATATATATATATATATATATATATATATATATATATATATATATATATATATACTGTATATATAATTATATATATATAATTATATATATATAATTATATATATATATATATATATATATATATATATATATATATATATATATATATATATATATATACTGTATATATAATTATATATATATAATTATATATATATAATTATATATATATAATTATATATATATAATTATATATATATATATATATATATATATATATATATATATATATATATATATATATATATATATATATATATATATATATAATTAATCTCTATGATCCCCCCCTCGATTGCTGAGCATTACAAATGGGGAGCTTCTCAATGAAGTATTTAGCAAAGTACAACAAGCACTTTCCAGCTTTACTACTGTTTTTGTTTACCTTGTAACCAATGCGTCCATGCAATGTTACTGTACTTTCATTTATTAAATACCGAGATGTTTACCTCTAGCAAGTGAGGTCTTCTCACATATTCTTACCTAATTTTTCAAGTTAACTGGGAATGGAGAAATAGAATTTCACAAATTCTATTTAAATTTTAAACATTCTATGAAGCTACCAGAAAATAGCTTTAGGTACAAAAGCTACCGCAGTCATGATATACATACGCAAAAATATGTAATACAATAATACATTGTATTCTGATCATAATCAGCATTTATCTCCATCATACTTCTTGAGGTTATCTTGAGATGATTTCGGGGCTTAGTGTCCCTGCTGCCCAGTCCTCGACCAGGCGTCCTTGTTTTGGTACACACCCCCAGGAAGCAGCCCATAGCAGCTGTTTAACTCCCAGGTTAGGGAGTTAGACTCCTCTTATTTACTGCTAGATAAACAGGTGCATCAGGGTGAATGAAACTCTGCCCATTTGCTTCCACCTCTACTAGGGATCGAACCTCAGGACCACGAATCCCGAATGCTATCCACTCAGCTGTCAGGCCCCTACTTCAGTTATGCATTTTGACCATTTATACTGGCAACATTATATCATCAGATGAAAAATGTTTTTGTTTCAATAATTAGTGCACACATACTTTGACTTTAATACACCAATAAGAAGCTGCCAATCACCCAAACTTGATCAAGGTCCTATTGTGATGTATACTCTTAAACCTATGAAATATAATACAGGGTACAATACACCAATATTAAATGGTAAATACAAAAACAAGTACAGTACCATTCGGTATAAAATGTAAAAAAGGATGTACTGTACTATACTCCATTACAAAGAAAACGCCATGTAAGAGTTTGCTTACCTTTAATACCGTAAGCCACTAAAATAAATATTTTCCTCTTAAATTTAAAAAAATTGTGCATACTGTACTGTACAGTACAGTACCACTGTACTGCATAATTTTGTGTACAGTACCACTGTACTGTACCATACCTTACTGTACTGTACTTCCAAAATTAAAACATGTTCACTTCATCACCATCATCCTGGGAGCAATGTTCATTGACATCAATTCTTGGAAAAGTAATTTACAAGCATAGGGAAGACGCACTTGGGATATCTGCAAAGAAATACATAATTAAAATCGGTACGTACTGTACTTGCAAAATGATGCTAATAACTTTGTGTTAGTTCTAACATCAACAAACATTTTAACATCAGCATACACTGTATGTACCCTGATGTTATATACAGTACTGTATTCACAAAATCTCCAGATCTATGCACATTGTATTTGCCATTTTTTATGCTCTGTACTGTATAGGAAAATACAGTAGAACCTCAGTACTCAAACTTAATCCATTCCAGAAGGCCATGCAAGCGCCGAGCTGTTCGAGTACCAAATAATTTATTACCATAAGGAATAATGTAAACTGGATTAATCCATTCCAGTGGATAGCAATATCAATATCATTAATACCATTTTTAGCTCTTGTTTATAAGAGTTGAGAGTGGTAGGAGAGATGAATATAATAAAAGGAAGAAACTCTTTGTATGGAAGTTGAGAAAGGACAGTAGTTAACTACTCCCAGCCTTGACACATGAAAATTAAATTTATAGAAAGGGGCAGTGCTCAAAAGTACAAGCCGTGGAAATAAGTTTTTGAGGACAGCAGCTGATTTATATGGGATGGGTATAAGGATGAAGAACTATACAAGATGTGGCATGAGTGGAAGGTGTGAAGAAGCATGTTAGTAGGACAGTTGAGACTCATCACCAAGATAGAAGAACAAGAATGAAAAAAAGGTATTATATGGAAAAGGTAAATGACCAGTATCTTAAAAGGGTGGGACAATATATGACAAAGGATGGAGTCAGAGTGATAGAATGAAAGGTTTGTGTGTTAAAAAGCCTCTTGCAGAAACCACGCTATGGCTACACCTTGATGGGGAGTTTCCAACTTGAAGAAAAGCATCAAAGCTACAGATAAATAGTATCTAATTATTCTGTGAAACTTACCTGAGTTTTATTGCGGCATCCCTTACATTCAAAGGTATTGTTGCGTAAATTAGCAATAGCCATAAGACCACACAAGTTGCACACATGAACAGAATATGGGTCGCTGACTTCAAACAAACGTTCACGGAGAAACTGTGCGGCGCCATGAGCAATCTGGCAATCTCGTTCCATCTCACCGAATCGCAAGCCACCTTCCCTGTACACAAAGTTATTCATGCATTAAAACTATTTTAGACAAATAAATCTTTTATGTAAAATCTTCATCTTAATTTGGAAATTACAAATATTTAATATGAAATTGACCCAAGGCATTACAAGATCTCTGTGGTTGCCTTGCCAATAAATACATTCATACCTATGGTAATTGTATTATATTAAAAGTGAAATCATGATGATTATGAGAGATTAAAGCAGGAACAGGTGTGTGTGTGTGTAGACTGGGAACCTTAAACACACAACAGTGTGTGCAGTCAATACTATTGTACCTTGATTGACATGATATCAATTTTTGGGAGGATATAAATAGGAGCTGCCTCGTATGGGCCAATAGGCCTTCTGCCGTTACCTTCATTCTTATGTTCTTATATAGCTATTTGTAAAAATATAACCCATCCCAAATACAGTACAAGTAAGAGGGCAAATTTTTGGACCAACAGTATTTCATTAAAAGAAAGCTTGGATGTCAATTCTAAGCTACAGCCCTAAAGTTTAGCCAACACAAAACCCCAAAAATTTATTTCACATCCAAAACTTTTCTTAAAACAGAAAAAAGAGGCTGCAAGACACTCATAACATGGTATTAGGGGTGTTAGGCAGCAAATGTGGAAGAAAATAATGAAAATCACAAAACTTGGTTAAACCATTCTAGAAATACTGTATGTACAGTGTACCCTCAATTCAATGAACCTTGATTCGGTGAATCTCCAGTTGGAAACACACAATTTCCAGGCCAGAATTACTCCCCCGATTCCACAAACTCTTTGTGTTGAAACGGGGAATGTGCAGATTTGCTTTTGGGATGTTGGGACAGTTCACACACAGACTGATAGAAAACTTGCCATCATATCATAGGTTAAAAATTAAAGATTTCCATAATGAAATCAGCCCATAGTGCATGGGAAAATATTAAGTGTATGAACGGTAACTCTGTTAATATGGTTTCATTCATGTTATGGATGACTATCGTAGTTGAACAACATTAGAAGAAAGATTTGGTGCCTTGGGAAAGCCATTGAGCACATTTAAAATTAAACCCTATGGTTCATTTTCATTGAGATTTCCTAGTTTTCATTCAAATATGGGCTTCCTGGAACAATCTCCGATTACAAAGAATCCCTCACTGCAATGAATTGTCGTTGGTCCCATATATTTCGTTGAATCGTGGGTGCACTGTATATAAAAATGTCTGCTGTGTAGGTGTACGATTGTAAGTAAGCACACCCATTTGCAGCACCCTCCTGAAGTCCTGTACATTCATTATAAACCTTTTTTTTCCACTGTTCGCTAATAAATACAACATTGATATGCTTTTTGATGCTCAATGGCATCTCAAATCATGCTGGAGGTTTACAATAGCAATATTCACACCTAAGATTAACCTATTAATTACAGTACAGTACTATCACTGCTGCCATAAGATGCACTAGCATTTTTCCTTCCATAACATATACATCAGGTAACATTTGTTTACAAACCTTGCACGACCTTCCATAGGCTGCCTTACTAAGATCTGCACAGGCCCTCTTGCACGGGAATGGATTTTATCGTCTACCATATGCTTCAAACGCTGATAATATGTAGGCGTCAGGAAAATCTGAGCATTCATCTTCCGTCCAGTGTGACCACAATACATAATCTGAAAATGCAACAAATGATATAGTTAAGCCCTAGTTGGAGACGTTAACATTACCTAGTGATCAGGAAACACACATATTAAAACTTGAATATTTTCTAATCAAATATTCTGATAGCTAAGCACATGTACAGTATCAGACAACAGTCATATACAACTACATCACCTTACTGCTATGTGCTGATATTTTAAACCTTTTACTAGACAGAATATGAATCAAGTAAATAATTAGGGAGCACTGCAAAAGGCCCGGTGGCTCATACTAGGCAGATCCTGTTTCAATCCACCCAATCTTACCCCATATACCAATCTCAACAATACAAGTTGGCAGCCCATTCCATTCACTCAACACACAATCTATAATAGCTATAATTTCTTTTATACACAAGGTCCAAATTTAAATTAAAACAGTTGGTGAATAGCTTTGCAGAGAAATGATAGCATTGAATAATAACCTAATTGGTTCCAGTGCCTGGATCATGGCCTAATCTCCAACACAAGTGCATGTGTGCATTTCACACATACAGCATTACGGTATTATCCCATTTCCCAATTGCAGGAAAAGACAGGAGATATTTTTTAAGTCACTCATCTATTCATCATGCACCATACAATATGTAGTAGCAGGGCTAAACATGCATTACACCACTTCACCACCCAAACAAAACAATTGTAGATATGTGCCAGCTACATGTACTGTCAAGAATGATGTGTGGGGGGGCCAGATGTACTGCCAAGAATGATGTGTGGGAGGCCAGATGTACTGCCAAGAATGATATGTGGGGGGGGGGTCAGATGTACTGCCAAGAAGGCAAAAGACTGAAACTTTAAAGAAAATTGCTTATACACACAGCTCAGAATCTGCAAACTTTAATACCATGCAAAACATGGGCTTCCTGTACACCTCCAGCAGCATTCAAGAACCACGTATGGGAACACAAGAGAGTGCATGGTTATACATCTCTTGAGTTGGTCAATGTAGGTGCCCAGGTGGGCCAGTGAGAGTCTGGTTAGCGAGTTAGTGGTGGTTTACTTGGCAGTCACTTATGATGCTTTGGTGTCTCTGCAGATACACTTGAAAAGTTCCTGTGGCACTAATGTCAATATATCACCCCTGCTTGACTGTACAGTACATGATTTCATCTAAAACTGATAGTAGTATATTACATCTTATTATCTGGAGCAGCTAAATGTGATCCCAGATAATAGATGTCATCCACAGCACATTATCTCTGCACTGCAAAACTTAGTGGAAAACAAGTATCAGCACACTGCATCAGCTGATCACAGCAGCATCCTACTGCATTATAAGAATGTGATATCCAACAGGGGAATAATTACCTCATTGCCTCTTAAGTGGTAGCCATACTCTTGTAACAAATTGGAGATTTTCTGTACATTCACGGCATCATTGAAGGGCGTAGCATCACCAATTTCACCCTTGTTGGCACCAAGCTTTCCTTGTAAAGCTTCAATTAAATGGCCAATTGTCATTCGAGAGGGAATGGCATGAGGATTAATAATGATGTCAGGAGTTATACCTTCTACTGTAAAAGGCATATCCTGAAAATAGAAAAATATATATAATTTATACAAGGAATATATGACCAAATGTAAAAACAGACACAGAATAAAGAGACTAATGAAAGGAGAATATTATAACAATTTTTGTTCTGAGGGAGAGAAGGTAACTGATGGATAGCATAGCATCTCACCTCCACCCTGTACTGAATACCACAGGTACCCTTTTGTCCATGACGGGAGGCAAATTTATCACCAATCTGGGGAATGCGTACAGACCTTACACGAATCTTGGTAAAACGATCACCATCTACGTTCACAGTCAACATGACCTGCAAAGAACACGAAAAGTATTAATGGGTATTAAAAAGCATCTCACCAGCAACAAATATTCAAGTATGTTCCTATTTTCTTAACTATTAATGCTTACAAAGAAAGAGATCTAGCCCTAGGGCAAAACCTCCAAGATATTGGGTTCTTGGTGTGCTTATTCCCGTCAACATTCTAGTGTCTTATCAAACCTGTTCTCGACATGTGAATGGAGGTGACTTGCACCAGAACAGCTTCCAAATCATTCCACTATTTTCCCACCTTCATAACTGTCCTTAATATTATGTACATGGTGATCATATCACGTAATCCTTTTCTCCTAAGGGGTATCAGAGTGAACTCCCATAAACTGTTTTTAAAGCAAGGTCTTATTTTTTAATCCAATCTTATAGCAAATCATCAAATATTAAACAATTTAGGGATAGTATGACAGTGCTACTCATTCTATAAGTCAGATATATGCAGTGTTGTGAATGACTATGTTTAGGACATTAGGGTTACCAGTCATGAATAAGCTGCTAATAACTTAATGCGTCTGGTGTTAAGTTAGCATCACAGTATGGGTAGGTCCGTGTGTGCCCGCTCCATGAAAACTATTACTGTACATATTTCACAACATTAAATATAAAGAGAAATAATTGTAGTCAATAAATCTATATAAATAAGAGAAAGTATGTGACACAATGAAAATAGAAAAAAATGGTAGAGCCGACATTAACAAAAAAAATGAGTAAAGAGAAACATGCCTGGTCCACAATACCAGTTTCTGAGCCCCTCAAAAATACACTGGCATCTCTCTTGCTGAACCGTCTTGTTTGACCTTCTAATTCATCCTCATTTTCTGGCAGAGTGATGGTTTTGCCAATGATGACATCATCACCAGACACACGCATACCAGGCGAGATAATTCCATCGTCATCCAGCTTGTCATAAATAGCATGTCGCATACCTTGACAGGTATCTCTCGAGGGTTTCTCAAACATCTGCTGATAATTTTATACAATTAATATGAATAGTAACATTACATGAAAATTATATTTACATTTTTGTGCTCTTGACTGAAAACATCTCATAACATTTTTGAGCTCCTTATCTCAGGATGCTAGGGATGGGAAGAAAGTACACATTATGCCTAATAAAAAATATATTACAATATTGGAAAAATTACGAAGATACCTTAAGTACATACCTAAGATACCTGGTTGATGGTACACCATCAACCAGGCTGTTAAGTGCCACTACATGCAGGATGAGGTATGAATCAATCTGATTGATCAGATACCTTTTGGAGATATTTATCAGGTCTCCTTTTGAATACCGAAAGAGATCGGCTAGTTATGCCCCTTATATTTAGAGGAGGGGTGTTAAAAAGCCATGGGCTCTCCAGTGTTTACAAACCTGCACCCCTATTTTTCAATAGGACTACTTTACACATTCAGCCATTCCTCCTTGTCTTGTGAGGAATTATTTCAGTATGCAAGTCTGGAACCAATCCCTCTTGATATTTTCCAGGTGTAAATTGAAACATTTTTCTTGCCTGTGCTCCAGGGAATACAATTTGAGATATTTTAGAAGATCCAAATAATTTAAATGTTTTACTGAATGGGCAGTACCTTGAGGTCACCTTGAGGTTGGTTGATACCTGGTTGATGGGGTTCTGAGTTCTTCTACTCCCCAAGCCCAGCCCGAGGCCAGGCTTGACTTGTGAGAGTTTGGTCCACTAGGCTGTTGCTTGGAGCGGCCCGCAGGCCCACATACCCACCACAGCCCGGTTGGTCCGGCACTCCTTGGAGGATACCCTAACTTTGGTATCCTTTGGAGATGCTTCCGGGGCTTAGTGTACCCACGGCCCTGTCGTCGACCAGGCCTCCTGGTTGCTGGACTGGTCAACCAGGCTGTTGGACGTGGCTGCTCGCAGCCTAATGTATGAATCACAGCCTGGTTGATCAGGTATCCTTTGGAGGTGCTTATCCAGTTCTCTCTCAAACATTGCAAGGGGTTGGCCAGTTATGCATGCCCCTTATGTGTAGTGGAATTGTGTTGAAACAGTCTTGGCCTCTGTTGTTGATAGAGTTCTCTTTCAGAGTACCTGTTGCACCTCTGCTTTTCAATGGGGGTATTCTGCACATCCTGCCATGCCTTCTGGTCTAATGTGATGTTATTTCTGGTTGCAGGTTTGGGACCAGCACCTCTACTATTTTCCACGTGTAAATTATTATGTATCTCTCCTGCCTGCGCTCAAGGGAATACAGATTAAGGCTCTTTAGCCGGTCCCAGTAGTTTAGATGTTTTACCGAGTGGATTCTAGCAGTAAAGGATCTCTCTGCATACTCTCCAGGTCAGCAATTTCTCCAGCTTTGAAAGGAGTTGTCATTGTGCAGCAGTACTCCACTCTACAGAGCACTAGCATTTTTTAAATTATCATCATCAGTATAGCATCTCTAGTGTGAAAGGGGTCTTGTTATCCAACCTGTCTTTTTCTTGCAGTTGTGACGGCTACTTTATTGTGTTCTTTAAAGGTAAGGGCTTCCTACGCGAGTACACCCAAATCCTTTACATTGCCTTTTCGTTCTATGTTATGATTTGACTAAGTTTTGTACGTGGTTTCCATTTTTATATTTTAATTTTTTCCGTAGCGCATGTGCTGGAACTTATCTTCGTTAAACACCATATTATTTTCTGTAGCCAATAGAAAGACCTGATTTACATCTGATTGGAGATTTGCCGTGTCCTCTATGTTGCCTCTCACTGTTATACTTATCTTGGAAAATATGAATGGGAGAGAGAATTTAGGCTTAAAAAAATTCAACTGAAGAGGGTGGGTAAGGGGATTATTGATGGAGAAGATAAAACATGTAGATACAAAAATGGTTTACATATACCTGTACTGAACAAATTATTTATATTATAAATGTTGCAAGTTCTACATTTCTGGCAACATACTCCCTCCATGACCGAGCCATTAACATTCAAATTGTCTAACAAATATTACAGATTCATTTGTCTTGCCACTATACCTATGCCAAATGGTTTTTATCACTATCAAAATTATACAACACTTACACTCTGCAACAAGAAATTATAATTTAAACATAGTGGTAGCTGTGAGCACATTTTTAATATGCAAAAATATCTACAAATTTAAAAACAGATACCTAGGACCATTTCACATCTTTACCATATTTTGCTTAATGGCACATGCTCTGTACTATCAATTGTATAATACAACTTGCACACGAGACATTTTTTTCTGTTAATGACCCAGTACTGATGAAACTGAACAGACCCCGACCACGTGATCTTTCTCTTTGAGGTAGTATGGCATCTCATTATTATTACTGAATTAATTTCAAGCTATTTTTCTTTGGATATGTCAATATTTGTAAGTAGAAAAATTATCTACCACACAAGTAGGCAGGCTAGATTAGATAGGACATGAAGAGATATCTTAGCATTGGCAAAAAGACTCGACCGATACAGAAAATCTACCTTGACTTGGGAGTGAGGATGATGCCAAATAAGTCTGGTGACAGCACTGCTACTACTTCTCATATAATAAGAGCAAAAGCTAGGCTTTTTGAATGATGAAAAAATTATGTAGCTGTACTGTAAGTGAAATCCCCTTACTCAACACAGTGCAATGCACAGCCTGCTTGTATGCTACATAATACAACATGGGATAAATAGATACCTCTTCTTGCATGCCTGAGCGTCTGGTCTCTGCATCTTTGTACGAACGGTAAAAGCAGGATCGGAAGAATCCACGCTCTACTGTAGAGAGGTTCATAATGACAGAGTCCTCTTGGTTATAACCAGTATAGCATGCAATGCCGACAATAGAGTTGATGCCTGTAAAGCAAAACATGTTGATAAAGCGAAGGCTAAGGCGAGGAGTTTAATACATAAAGGCTGTGTTGTACTTAAACAAACCTGATAAAACACAGTGGAAGGACAATGATGGAAGACATTAGTATGGGGATTATCTATAGTAAAATTCTTGCAAAACATTCTGAAAGATCCAAAACTAAGTCCTCGAGAGGTCAATGTGCAGTTTATTATAATAAGTGACAAGACACACCAAAGAAACACTGGGATATAGTAGACTCTCCAGCAACTCCAGACCTGGTGTTTACCAACAGCATGACTAATGTTGTAACATTGAGGATGAGATGCCTCTAGAAGCTAGAGCCATCTAGAGGCATACAATACCATGTTCTTTAAGAATATAAAGTACAGCTAAATAAATTAAGAGAGACTATGGAGGGACTATATGAGGGTTATCTACAAGATATAGAATGAGAGACAATTAGTGGGAATGACAAGATGAAATTCATCCCCCAAGAAAGTCATATTGCATAGAAAAGTCCATTCGCTTCAAGGAGGATGTGGATGAGGCAAGTTCATGGCTCAATAAATGTGAGGAAGAGAAGGAAACGATTAAAAAAAGGCAAGGAAAACTGCAGGTAACTTGGCATGGAGGACAATAGAGGGGGACATTAAAGAAAGCCAGAAATGAGTACATCATAATCATAAGAGCAATTGAGAGGCAATTTGAAAATTACATAGCAGTAAAAACTAAGGATCAATCAAAGAGCCTGCATACCCACATGAGGAAAAAATAACAGCAGACCATGGGATAACGATGAGGAAGCAAGGTGGTATTCTCACAGAAAACAACAAGGTGCTTTAAGAAGCAATCATATTTTGATTTAACTTAGGATTGTATCTTACATTATATCTTCAAGTACACTGGGGTAAAGTGATATATCTATGTCTGCTAAACTCTCATTTCCCAGCAGACATCTGCATGAAATGAACAAATCCACAAGGGCAGTGACGAGGGTTCGAAACTACGTCCGAGAGAATCCCAGACGCTGCCTTAATCGACTGAGTTACGACATGGAAAAGAATTGCAACCCGAAGTTCTACTGGCCTTACTCGGATCCTGCAGCCTCTCCGAGACACAAACCAGGGTTTTACACAATTCCCCCATGCACCCTAGCTCTATCAATAAGCTGTTCTACCTCTTCGCCCTTACTTTATTACACCCAGAAATCACAATAGCATGATGCATCAAAGGAACAAATCCACAAGGGCCGTGACGAGGGTTCGAACCTATGTCCGAGAGGATCCCAGGCGCTCGTAATGAAAAAGGTTATGGAAGCAGGTCAAACACAAGGTACCAATTGGGAGATAAAACCCTTCAAGAATCAGGTAAAGATTTGGGGTTAATATCACAATGAACCTGTCTACTGAAGCCCACATTAAGAGGACATCAGCAGCTAGATTGGCCAGCATAAGAACTGCCTTCAGAAACTTGTATAAGGAAACATTTAGAACCTTGTATACTACACAAGTCAGGCCAATCCTGGCATATGCAGCTCCAACATGGAATACATATCTAGTCAAACACAAAATGAAGTTAGAGAAAAGTTCAAACATACGCCACCAAACTAGTCCTAGAGCTGAGAAATATGAATCATGAGGAAAAGCTACCCGAATTAAACTACACATCTCTAAAGAGTTAGGGGGAAGACATGATTACTGTCTACAAAATTCTCATAGTAATTGACAGTAGATATGGAGAGACTATTTAGCAAGGGTGGTAGTACAAAAACAAGGGGGACAGGTGGAAACTTGGTACTCAAATGAGCCACAGACATATTATAAATAATTTTTTTCAGTGTCAGAATAGTAAATAGAATACATTAGCAAGTGAGCTCGTGGAGACAGATTCCATACACTGATAGGTAAGTAGTTTCAAATGTAGATGTGATTAGAGCTCAACAGGCTCAGAACTTTTACACCAGTTGATTAGTAGTCGAGTCAGGACCAAAGAGCCAAAGCTCCACTCCCACAAGCACAACTAGACGAGCACACCATACCACACACATCACACACACACTTCCTCCATTAACCCGGAGAGTATTGACTGGGCACCAATTCTTAACTGTTCACTCCTGTTCACCCAGCAGCAATTGAGGACCTGGGGGGTAAACCGATTGGTGGGTCGTGTTCCAGGAAAAAAACTAGGAGGGCAAAACTTGCTATATTCTATGGTAAAGGAAAGTTTTCAACCTGCTAACAGGAGTCAAAAGCCATCTACTCCTGTACGTACGTACTACAACAATCTATAGGTGGCCCAGCTGCTCCTGCTTACTCTCAAGATATAATAGCAGAGGGAACTAAATCTTGTAAAATAAGAGAGAAGGAATATTTGGATATGATCACTACATAAAAGTTCTTGAGGGAAATAGATAGGGGTGGACAAGGTCAACCACTTTGAACTGAAAGCAAGACAATAAAAACAGTGGAAGCTAGAAACAGGAAGGAGTTAAAGAAATGAGGAAACACTGGTACATGATACGGGTAGTCAACAAGTGGAACACACTGAACATCTCACAAGCTACCTACATCCACAACATTTAGTTGTTTCTGAACCCAAGCTTTCACAAATCAAGAAAGTTTAAATACAATACTACAGGTAGAAGGCAGTTAGTAGGCTGGGCAAGAAGAGCTGGACTTTTCCGGGTACTTATTCTTAAGCAAGCACCGTTAGATAAGGAGCCAAGAATCCTCGTAATAAATACCTGCAGGCAATTCTCGGAAACGCAAGTATTCCATAGAACGTGTAGTAACAAGTGGCTTCTGAGGATAGAACAGCACATGTGCCAGGGTGTCCATCCGCACATGAAAATTGGTGATATACACACCCATTGCCTGCTTACCCATAGCACTCTGTAGAGAAGAAATAAACATTTATTTTCTCTAGGGATTACATTATTTTTTAAATTAACAGACTGCAATGATGAATTTAGCAGTTTACTATAAAATAATCTTAATAGTTGAGGAAGGTGGCAGAACCAAGATATAAACACCGCCACAAGCCGAGAAAACCTTACCCCAGGCTGTCTTCTGATGGAACACAACACAATCAAAATGCATTGCAGCAGCAGTAATTGGCTAAATGTCGGTCATATATCAAGTCTGTTCTCACAATTTCACAAGCATGAAATTTAAAGTGGTTTTGCCTAATCAAACGTGTTCAAACCCTGTCAACCCACCAACTCTATCAAAAGCTGCTGCTCATTAGTCCCACAAAGCCACATTATTACAGAGCATTTAATTTCGCTAAAGCACTTGAATTCTGACAATAAAGTGAATAGCATCCAAACTGGGGTACACAATCTGTGAGAGCAGGTTGTACCTGCTCTCCTGTACCTGTACAAAACCTGTACAGGTACAGTTTTGTACCTGTACAAAAAATTATGTGTATAATACAAGAGGTAACAGTGTCAGCGTGCACGAGACCCACCTGGTAAGTGTTACGAGGGGACTGGTTGTGATCAGGGAAGGGGATGATGGAGGCGCACACACCCAGCACCATAGCAGGGTGGATCTCGCAGTGAGTGTACGTATTACAGTAAGTTTTCTCTTCTTCCACACCCAAGTCCTCAAGGGACATGGCAATCATAATTGTCTCTTCTTCAGAGCAGTCAATGTACTCCACCACACCACTTGCTACAAGATCCTGCCAGCTGCATCATAAATTGCATAATTAACAATAAGCAAATAAATTTCAAAATATACAATAAAGCAGTTACTTAATCACTACTTTTTCAGAAAACTTTTATTCGCCAAGTTTTTTCCTGGTTTTGAGTGTAAAATTAACAATATAAATTTGTATATGCATTCTAAATCAACTAAGACATCAGTTAGAAAACTATTGTCAATAAAAAGTAAGCAGTAAATTAAGTAAATATACATAGATATATCTCAATGCAAATCTGTCCTAAAAGGCAGATTTATTCCAATTTTCAGTTTGAAAATTTTTACGTTCTTTGAACACATTTTTGCATTTAAATGTTCAGAAATTAAGTCACTTTGTAAAGATATAACAATCAGGCAATGTCAGGTGCACAAAGCATGTTATCATGACACAAATAATAAATAGTAAAATGATGAGAGGATGTCATGTATGGGGCGACACATTATTCCATTATTGGAATAGCCAAAAAAATTGTGCATAATGTAGAAACACATCAAAATTTAAAAGTATTAAAAGTTCCAATAATTAGAACTGAATAGCCATAGCAAGACATCAATGTCCAGACAGTGTAGTTGTTTTAATACTATAATTGTATTCTAAAACAAAACTATTTATTACACAGAGGAATTAGTCCTACCTGAAGTTGTTATATTCTCTTTCCTTAAGCAAGTCAATGTGTCTCTTTTTGAGTAGCAGTTTACCATTTTCTACAACCAGAAGAGGGCGGCAAATACGACCAGCATCTGTATATATACGAATCTCCCTGTCCCTGATATCTCTTACCATACACACCTGTAAGTGACAAGTTTGTTGCATATGTACAATACCATTATATAAACTAAATACACAACATTAAAAACAAAATAATTAAATCAATAGTTCAAGAGGTACTTACATAATATGAGATGCATTTTGGGAACCTTCATGCTACAAGAATTAAATTACACAAGCTTTTTATATTGTACAGGAAAAAAATGCATACCAGAGATCTCCCAAAAGTCTGCTACTTACCACTCGTGTCTTATTAAATCACAGATCTAAATAGCTACTCCCTAGCCATATATATTCTGTATGACAATATTGTTGGAAAGAATACTGTACAAAAACATTGTCTTTCATTACTCCACGGGTCACCTTTGGATATAGCCGTTATTACAGAATATTTTGCATGTATGATGCAAGAACGATAAAGGTATTAAATGCAAAAGCTCCATATCGAAGGTTCCATAATACAAGAATATACAGCAGTGTTAAATATATTGAAGTTAAGGATGTCTTCCAGGGGCCAGATTCACGAAAACACTTACACAAACACTCATGAACCTGTACATCTTTTCTCAATCTTTGGAGGCTTTGTTTACAATTATTAAACAGTAAATGAGCTCCGAAGCACCAGGAGGCTGTTTATAACAATACCAACAGTTGAATGGGAAGTTTTCATGCTTGTAAATTGTTTAATAAATGTTATCAAAGCCGTCAAAGATTGATGAAAGATGTACACGTTCGTAAGTGCTTGCGTAAGTGCTTTCGTGAATCTGGCCCCAGGTATGCAAAAAACACATTGTGAACTAATGCTATTCAAGCCTCTATTAGACAATTTCCAAATATGTTCACATAAAAAACACACCAACTAAAAGTTCAGAGGAAAGTAATAACTCACCTCAGATACAATGATATCCATCTGACGTCTCAACTTGCGTAGCGTCATCATCAGTTGTTCTGGGTCACGATGAATACCAACCCAACAACCATTCACAAAAATTTTGGTTGCACTGAAAATTAATAAGTTTATTACAAGCCATTCCAAATAATGCTTACATAGTAGTGTTAAGCACTACATAATATTTATTACCAAAAAAAAAAAAATTTTTTTTTTTTATATTTACGGTTATTTGCCTAACCACAGACATTTCCAGGTCATATGTAATTATATATAACAACTACTGCTTCTAGGTCAAAACAAAACCGTACACAAATAAGAAATTCAAGAAACATTCACATCTCAACTACATACTCATCAATTGAAGAAGGTGCTATTTCCTCCAAGTTTTCCATAGACCACTCCTCCAAGAACTCGAGGATTGGGGCTGGTTGGGATCCTACAGAGATGTAAGACATGAGAGCCAAATTCTTCACCAAGCCGACAGCAGCTCCCTCCGGTGTTTCTGCAGGACATATCATTCCCCACAGAGAGTTGTGCAGCTGTCGAGGTTTTGCCAATTTACCATCTCGACCAATTGGAGAATTGACACGCCGAAGATGAGACAACGTCGATGCAAAAGTCAGTCGGTTCAACAC